ACCCTTGCGATATATTTACGTTATAAAAACCGTGTTATAGCTTAGTGCTATACCTTATGTTGCTATGCTTTTAGAAGTGGGGTGGAGTTATTTCACGAGTGTTAAGACAACAGTAGTAATTTTGAGAAAAGAGGTGTCCCTGCACAAATGGAGTTGCAACGGTTAGGTACTTAGGTTCAAATGACTAGGTAATAAAAGTGTATAGAGAATGACTATTTAATAAAAAAACAGAATTCGATAGAACGATCCTTAAATACAAAGAGTTTTTTTCTTATAATTAATTTGAAGATATGTAAAAGAACGATAAAATAAAATAAAAAAGGTCGAACCCCAACCTTGAGACCCCCCCCACCGCCCAGCCCAGCCCAGCCCAGCCCAGCCCAACCCTACCCTGCCCCTGGAACATTGTGGAGGAGGTAAATCTCGGGATGTGTCTCAGCATACCAGGATACACGAGCTGTCATACTGGTGCCCACAAAGAGTCAAATTCTATACCTTGTAAGAGGTAGCAATCGAACTCTCACACTGCGGCTGTCAGCTCAACTGAGACTACTCCACTCTTGTCATTTGCACCACTGAGCTATGCCCCGGGAGGCTAAAAACGATAAAATCAATTTATAGGGTTTCCTTGTTCGAGAATGGAAAGGAAACGGAAAGGACGAATAGATAAACATGTAATAAATTAGATAGATAGATACACAGTGTATATAGACTAATGTACATACAGTAAATATAAGAGCAAATAAATGAATCATATTACATGTATAATCTTTGTTTATAACATTGGTTGACAACGTCTTACTGGCAGCACCACATTTATCCATTTCAAAAAATGTTTTTTACATCAAAGATTCGAATTTTGACAACACATAGTTGTCAACTATATTTGTACAACTAGCTTTATTGAAATAAAATGGGCCTATGAACAGTGTGACCCAATTGTACTTACATGAACAGTGCGAAACTGGTTTCAAAGTAAGCAAGTGTGAAAACGATCGAACAATGAAAAACGGTTGACTCTTTCAAGATTCTGGGGATCATGGCGTTTAATTATAAATTCAGATGTTTTAACAACCCCCTCGAGGGTGTCAATTTTTACTGCATCGCATCACGCATATGGTGTGAACCTAGCTAGTCGATCACAAAATATGTGTTGTCCATTGCTTTACCACCTAAACTTTCAAGAGAAAAATGGGGTTTTTTTTTTTTAAATCACAAGTGAATCCCCATTATTAGCATTTGACTTTTGAGGACAAGGAGTAGCCAACGTAGCAATAGAAAATTGGACGGTCATAATTAAAAGGTTATATGTCGCTTTATTTTCCCATTGGTTAATTTAATGCATTATTCCTCCTTTTGCCAAAACAATATTAAGCACATAGGTTGTAATTTTAGAAGACATATTTATTGGCTGTTTGGTTATTGTTAAAAAGTACTTTTTGACAAATAATAGACAAAAAAAGGATGGTGCAACTTGTCCCCGGATTAAATCCCGGGTCAAACCAGGGGCGCCATTTTGGAGTGGGATCTGCCTGGGACAACCAGCATTTTTGAAAGTTATATCCTTTCTATATATCAATAAAATGAATTTCACTTCATATATTGGATGGCAATAGAGCGAGAGGGGCGATGACTATTACCATTCTCGCCCGTCGGGATTTTTGAAAGCATGGTGGAATTAAAAATTTTCATTTATTGTCGTGTTTAATTTTTTTAATATTATTACTTATTTTTAAAAAATGATTTAAATTGGAAAATAAAAAATAAAAAAATATTTCGAGACTGGTTCGAAGAATTCGAAAGGGGACCATGATATCTGTTCTTGTTCAATCCATGTCAGGACAATACGAGATGGATCGTAAGTGAAATTTTTTGCCATCCCTACTCTGATACCTTTGTTTTGAAAGTTCATTTTAGAAAAGAGTGTAAGGGGCTTATTCAAAAGCCGTAATTAAAAGCGAAAATGACGGCAAAAGGATTGTGAATTTGAGAGGGTATATATGCAAAGTATCCATAAGTTGAAGGACTATAAATTACTTTAAAATCGCAACCAATGTAAGGGATCTTTGACTATAATATCTTCCTACTGTACTATGACGCGCGACAGGTAGCATTTCCACCAATATTAGACTCTCAATTCCCTGCAAAACCTCCAGCAGTTGCTCTCAGGTTCGTTTCTCTACGATCCCGTCGGGTTCTTCTTTCTCCATGCATTGTATTTAATGCTTAAGTTACGCATACTATTTTCACTGAATCAATGATCAACGGTTTTATTATCCGAGTTCATTTTTTTTATTTCTTCAATATTCGAAGTTAGTATTGATTACTTGAATTGGGATCTAATGGTGTAATTTCAGATTTTTAATCTCACAATGGGTTTCCGTGTATTTTGCAATTTTTAATTTGGTTTGTTCTGTTTTTACTGAGCAGTAGTCTCGCTTGTGATCGGTAAATGGTTTTAGTTTCTCAAAGAAAATTGCTTTATGGGTGAATCTAGAATATTTTCTTTTTCTTTTTATCCGAGTTTGGATTTGGGATCAAAGATTTTGAGAATGTCGCTTTATAAATTTTGAGTTTTTTTATTGAAAGAACAATCCGTAAAGGGACTATAAATGTAATCACTATCTAGAAAGGTTGAATAGGGTACGAAGCATTTGAATATGCAAGAGTGTAAGCCTCGAGGAGTTTGAGGTGTAAAGCTTGTATAAATTAAAAAAATATATACAAAATAATAGCCATGAGATAATTATAGAAATGATCATCTAAAATTCATTATAAAGCATTTCAACAGAGTTAAAAGTATAATTTGGACTAAAAACTAATTGCAAACTGGTGATCACATAATATAACCACTAATCCACAACGAGAACCAAAGTTTTAAACAACAAAGTTTGTTTTGATTTTAACTATGGCACATAAATAGATAGAAGAAATGTACAAAAGGAAGAGAGGAGGGAAGTTACATTGAACATGCCTGGCTATTCAAATTTCCAAACTTTTTCCTTGTTTTTGGAATTGATTGAAAGAAAAAAGTTTAATACTCCATCCCCGGTTCAAAACAGTGCAAAGAACCGTAAAAACGATCCAGACTGAAAAACCGAACTAAAAAGATTAGGAAAGTAAAAAAGCTCAAACAATGAAACACTAAGGAGTGCACACCTCCAGCTTCCTAAGGCATTTGCCTTGAACCATACGCCTCTGTAACTCAAGGCACAAGCTTTGAGGCTCTTAGTGAATACCTTGTCATGAGGCATACCTCAAAGCATAAGCCTCGGGTGCTTTTGAAAATAATACTTTTAATTATGAAATTAATTATATTGAAGATGCAGTGTTAACTATTCGAGTACAAGAGACACAAAGCAATGTATGTTCACGGCAGTTAAGGTTTGCTGTTTAAGTAAGAGCCTCAGCACTGCAATGAATCATGTTTTATAAAATTTATTTGTGATTATGTTATCCCAAAGATAATGGTTAGAAATACGATTAAATTGTCTCTCACTCTTACTGAAGCAGGAAAATGTTGGTTTGTGATTATTTTATCATAATGATTTGATTAGAAATATAATAAAATTGTCTCTCATCCATGTTGCAGCAGGAAAAATGTTGGACAATGGCTTTGATGCAGGAAAAATGCGGGACAACAGTTTTGACAATAGAGAAGAAGATTCTTCTAATTGCAGTAGTGATGAGGTAGGCCACAGACTCACAGAGTTTCCCTTTTTCTCTTTTTATATTTAACATGCTCTTTGTCCACCCTCCTCTTGTGAGGTATTGGGGTTCTTTTTCTCATAAAATCAGTGAAGTATATAAATCAAATTAGAGGAAACATAACCTTCGCTCATCTAGTGAACCGTGATAACGTGACTTCGGTGAGGCATGTAGCCAATCCTCTCTTTTCTATATTTCTGTTTGAAGAACTAAAGAGGCTAAATAAAGCTATTTTTTTAGACTGTCTCTCGTTAAACCATTTTCTAAAAGAAATATTGATTGTGAACTTAAAATAATCCCTTGAAATGTTGCCAAAGTCCAATAAATTTGTTTCGCTGTCATGAAGGTTCTTTAGCATGACTAAGATGCTCATCAACCATGACTTCCACACCTTACACGTTGAAAGTCGTGAAATTGGTTTGTATATGGTTTCTCTAATCAAAATGTATTTGTGCCTTGGTGTCAGATGAATTACCATATCCCATTGCTTTTAAATGCCGTGTATATTTTAATTGAGTTTTTCTTCTTTTTTCTGATTATTTATTTCACCGGTTTCCAAATTTGAAATAAGCTTCACAATGCTCCAACAAATTGAGACTCAATTATGAGAATTTTGTATGCTACGCATGACATGTGCCATGACTTGCTCTGATCTGTCCAACAGCCTAGTGCTCAGGATTGAAGAAATCTTCAATACCGTTCAATTTGCATCTGAAGCGTATTAGCGAATGCCGTAGGATTTATAAACATTTCAGTGTTCTCTGTTTTTCGCATTGAAGGTTGTCTACACACTTTGCTGTGGCCCCTTGTATATCTTTCCTGTCCATTTTCATTTGCCTGTTTTCTGTTCTTTGCTTTTGTTTATTTGAATCCTGTCTATTTTTTAAGCTGTTTTTATCTTTGACTTCTGATGAACTTGAAGTTTGAAGAATACTGATTAGACGGACAAATTTACTTCTTTGATGCCTGATTATAAATCAGGTTGTTTGGTTGTTGCATTAACCTGTTACATGGCTCTACTGAATACCGTTTCTTTCTCTTTTGTTTGTTATTTTCCTTCTCATTGTGATTTTTCCAGGTCAAAGTTGACCCCAGTAGGCCTCCATCCCTAGCTTGGAAACGAAAACTTAATAACGAGGAGCAAAACCTTTCTGAATTTGGTCTGACTTTGAGAGAAAAAATCACTCTGGTATTCTTCTGAACTTTAATACTGCTATTGCCCCTGGGGGCTGTGGCCCTGTCTCCACAGTTTCCTTTTATTAAAAGAAGTCTTTGTGCCAAGAAGTATGGAGTTGAACATTGTTCAAGCTTGGATTTGAGCTCAGCAGTTTAAGAACTATATGACGTCTCTTCATCCTTTTTCAGTTGAACCAAACAAGAAATATTGTACTTGAACTGTGAACCAAATATCCCTCTTTACAGTTTGAAGTTTTCTCCTCTTCGGAATTTTCTCCATCTGGAATTTAATATTATTACATGTTAGCATCAAGGTTCTGTCTCCAAAATATTGCCCAAACTTCTCTTGGATTTGTCCTACTATGTTTACTTGGTGAGGTGCAAATCAAATAGCTGCGGAACGTGGAAATGAACAAGATTGTTGCCTTTAGTGGTCCCGCAGTTAACAGTCTAATATTCATTCTCTCTAGTTGTGAGTTTTTATCCTGCATATCTGTTCCTGTAATAGCTTCTTTTCGGTTCTTCATAGGCTCCAATAGGTTATAGGCTGTGGAGGTATCTCAGAGAGGAAAAAATCAGAGGAAAGGTAAATTCTCCTCTATTATAGAATTTAAACTTGAATTGGCAGATCTGTTGGTAAGAGCATCTTTCTCCTGTTCTTGCAGAACTGTTTTCTAGATCCTTTTACGAAGCGCCATACAACATCTTGCCATGGGATTCCAATAGGTGGTATTGGGTATGTATTCTTTACTCTCTCTTTCTAGTTTCTATGCTGCAAGTAGAGGATTCATTCAAGATTCAGCAAAAGGCAGCAACAATACAGAATCTGACTAGTTTTCTGTTAGATGACGTAATCCATATTAGAATTTTATGGATCAACAACTTTCCAGTTATTTTTCCAAATAAACTACTAAGATGTGATATATGCGACCTTGTTTAATCACTTCTGGACAGTTTTTTGCCCTTGTGGCAGAATTCTGAAATATGTTTTCTTAAGTTGATCCTTCTCATGAAGAAGTAAAACAAGATTATATAAGAAAGCACAAATTTGAGTCATTATTTTGAAGAGCTGTCATTCTTATACTCTTTTCCCCTTCAAAGTGAAGCAAAAAAGCACGCATGTTTCTCTATTATGCATGGTATTCATCTGTGTAACTGTGGACAATTTTCTAAGAATAACCTCCAATGTGTAACGATGGTTCCTTATAAAATATCACTGATATTAAATTTACCTTGTTACCGAAACTGATATATGTGTATATGATTGGAGACAATTTTCAGAGCAGGAAGTATCGGGAGAAGTTTAAAAGGCGAATTTATGCGTTGGCAACTATTCCCTAGAATATGTGAAGAGAAACCGGTCTTGGCAAACCAATTTTCTGTAAGTTGACCTAGTTCTAAAGACGTTTCCAATTATATTTGTTACATTATGACAAGTTTTTTACAAGCCTACCACCATTGAAGCGATAATGTGACACCATTAGTTACATCTAGTGAAACATTGCTAGTCTATGAACTGTGAGTACCACATTATTTTTACATAAACATAACGTGAAAAATTCAATAATCAGTAATATGCCATTGAAATGGTGTGGTTGACAAAAGATAGTTTTTCAGTTGCATTTCTATTGCTAAGTTTTATTTACTAATGATTGCATTATACTGTTTCTCCAAACTTGCAGATATTTGTTTCACATCCAAATGGGGAAAAGTATTCTACTGTGCTATGTCCAAAGAGTCTGGAAGTGTTAAAGTAAGAATGTACTTTTAATTTGTTTTCCCAGATAACTTGATATGTGAAATTAATAATGATTTCGAGTGATGCCCCCCAACCCGCCTTTTTTCTCTGTAAGCAAATATTGTGTGAGAGAATCAACGTGTAAATTTCTCTGAAATAATGTGGATAAACAGTGATAGTTCAGCTTCTGGGATAGGATCTTGGGACTGGAATCTGGGTGGACAAAGTTCCACATACCATGCATTATTCCCGAGGGCTTGGACTGTATATGATGGTAATCTTGTGATTTGCTGATACATTCACAGTTTATGTCCCATATCATAGATTTCTAGCATCACAATTTTTCTTTAATGCAGGAGAACCTGATCCAGCACTTAAAATAGTATGTCGTCAAATTTCTCCTGTTATTCCCCATAATTACAAAGAGAGCAGCTTCCCTGTGGCAGTATTTACTTACACGGTACAAAACTTCTCAATACTTCAAACACCCCCCCTCCCCCCAACTTTCCTAGCACGCATACACTCAGAGAAAGGCATTGTATAACTTTTTTATGAAAAAATCTACTATGATTGTCTTCAGTTGTCTAATTTGGGAAAGACAGCCGCAGATGTCACTTTGCTTTTCACATGGGCGGTATGTACTCTTTTTTAAGTTGGTTCCAATGATTCTTGAAAGAATTAACATTTCAACTTACCTTTTCGTTCCATGTACAGTAATTCTCTCGTCATTTTAATTTCGTGGTTAGCGTGCTGTCCACAAAATATTTCTGACAATTGTTCTTCTTCCAGAATTCTGTTGGTGGGGATTCTGGATTTTCTGGTAACCATTTCAACTCAAAATTTGGGTAAGGTTGCATTTATCACCTTCAAATATTGTAATTTGATAGATTGTTTCAGATGTCAGTTAACTAATTCCACGGTACTTAAGAGGAGAAGCTTTTCCAAATTTGCAGCTCTATCAATACTAAATTGTTATTTTAATAATTCTTGTCAGTTTTTTTATTAACTTACATTATCTAGTCTGATCTAGAATAAAAATGTTTTGCTAGCATGGAGGATGGCGTTCGTGGAGTTCTCTTGCACCATATGTATGCTCTTATTCTTTTTAGAGAAGCAAAATATTTAGACTTGTAAATTGTATGGTTCCAATAATTGTGATATATCTCCCCTGTTGTTCTCTAATTCCTTTTGCAGGACTGCAAATGGGCAGCCCTCAGTAACTTTTGCAATTGCAGCAGAAGAAACCGATGTAGTTCGTGTTAGTGAGTGCCCCTGTTTTATAATATCTGGAAACTCCCAGGGCAACTCTGCAAGAGAAATGTGGCATGAAATAAAAGAGGTAGGCATACATGCTTTCATACTTGTCATGGATTCTGTTGTTGGGTTCATGCACATCAATCTGCTGGTCTTCCTGACTTCCTTGTCGTTTTCAACTAAATGTTATCCTCTTCTCGAGTTCTCCAATGCATTTTTCTGATTAAAAGGCAGACCTATTTAATTTGATGAAGTTTTGTGTAAAATACAATGTAGCACTAGGTTTTCATTTATTTGTATACCTTTTCTTTCTCCCCAGTTGCTATTTATATCATTGACATCGTTATTTATATTAGCATGGATCCTTTGACCGCCTGAATTCTGAAGAAATGTCAGTCCCCTCTGAACCGGGTTCACTCATTGGAGCGGCCATTGCATGTTCTCTGACTATTCCAGCAGATACGGTACGAACAGTTTCATTTTCCTTGGCATGGGCCTGCCCAGAAATAAACTTTCCGGGTGGAAGAATTTATCACAGGCCAGTACCCTATTGCCTGTTCATCCAATTTACATACTAGGATGCTTCTTTTCCATTGCCTGAATAAATTCACTTCTTGATCAGGAGATACACCAAATTCTATGGTACTCTTGGTAACTCGGCATCAAAAATTGCACATGATGCTATTCATGGTAATGTCTCGACTAGAGCTCAAAATTTATCACGTTCCTTAAATACATGCATGTTCCTGTGTCTCAGTCATGCAAATGTATTTAAATTCGTCTCCTTTTGCTCATGATCAATGTATTTATGGAAGATTCTTTCTTTATATACATTTCGGAAACTTTTATTTTGAAACCTTATGTTTTTATATTTTTATATTTTGTGTTCTTTTACTGAAACTTAGAGCATCAAAACTGGGAGTCACAAATCGAAGCATGGCAAAGACCTATTCTTGAAGACAAGGGACTTCCTGAATGGTAACTGTTGAAGATTAAATTTAGTTGGACAAATGTGTCCCATTTTCTAACGACTTAAGCTTTTAGAAGAAATAGTTCAACATGGTATCACAACCAATGAAGATACTGAGTTCAAGTCTCTCCATTATCTATTTATGAAAATTGTACACGTGTCAAGCCTTTGGATAAAAAATAAAAAATAAAAACCTGAGCGGCATGCGGAGGGGAATGTTCAAGATAGGATTTCAATAAATAAATTTATCACCTCTCTAAAAGCCTAAGCTTAGGCTTTTAGACGAGGCAATTCCACAATAAGCTTTCATTTTATTATGCTGACTGCTTGAGTACAAAATTCTTACTTGCACGCGGTCTGCTGCAGGTACCCACCCACTCTTTTCAATGAGCTTTACTACCTTAATTCGGGGGGAACAATATGGACAGGTATGTTGCAAAAGGAAATTTATGTCCTAAGGGTGATAGGATTAAGCTAATTCTTTGTTTGTTGTTTCTTTTTCCCATTCTAGATGGATCTCCACCAATACATAGTATATCACACATTGGAGAAAGAAAGTTTTCCCTTGACAGATCCAATTCTTGTATTAGAATTAGAAACAATCCATTCCAGCAAAATGACACTGCTATTGAGATTCTTGAAAGGATGGCTTCAACGCTTGAGGAGATTCAAACTCCCATATCAACGCCTTCTGCATTGGGAACGAAGCTACTGCAGAAAGGAGAGGAAAATGTGGGTCAATTTCTCTATCTTGAAGGGATTGAATATCACATGTGTAACACATATGATGTCCATTTCTATGCATCATTTGCCTTGATTATGTTATTCCCAAAACTCGAACTTAGCATACAAAGAGACTTTGCAGCCGCGGTTATGATGCATGATCCCAGTAAGATGTCACTTCTACAAGATGGAACTTATGTCCAGAGAAAGGTTCTTGGTGCCGTTCCTCACGATATTGGAATGAATGATCCGTGGTTTCAAGTAAATTTCTATAATTTGCACAATACAGATAGGTGGAAAGACTTAAATCCAAAATTTGTGCTACAAGTTTACAGAGATGTGGTTGCCACTGGGGATAAAAACTTTGCAAAAGCCGTATGGCCATCTGTTTATGTTGCAATGGCTTATATGGACCAGTTTGATAAAGATGGCGATGGAATGATAGAAAATGAAGGGTTTCCAGACCAGACGTATGATACATGGTCTGTATCTGGTGTGAGTGCATATTGTGGTGGGCTGTGGGTTGCAGCCTTGCAGGCTACTTCAGCCCTTGCTCGTGAAGTTGGAGATACGGAATCTGAGGATTATTTTTGGTTTAAGTTTTTGAAAGCAAAAAAGGTGTATGATGTAAAGTTATGGAATGGCTCTTATTTTAACTACGATAATAGTGGTAGTTCTACAAGCTCATCCATTCAAGCTGATCAATTGGCTGGACAATGGTACGTAGCAAAAGTAGCAGGTTGATTTAGTTCTCTTAAATCTAAAGAAAAAATAGTGTACTTTTCTTGTTGTCTGGGCTGACTATAAGCATGTACAGTTGGAAGGTATGAAAGATCTTTCCTTTTTAATGACAATCTCTTATTTAAGAAACTATTTTGTAGGTATGCTCGAGCTTGTGGCCTTTTACCCATTGTAGATGAAGAAAAAGCAAAAATGGCACTCGAAAAGGTTTATGATTTCAATGTGATGAAGATAAAGGATGGGAGGCGAGGGGCAGCAAATGGGATGCTGCCAAGTGGGGAACCCGATATGTGTACCATGCAATCGAGGGAAATATGGAGCGGGGTTACATATGCTGTTGCCGCAGCCATGATTCATGAAAACATGGTTGAAACGGCATTTAACACTGCCGTTGGCATATACGAGGTTGCTTGGTCTGAAGAAGGTCAAGGGTGAGTTTGAATTTGAATTTGTTCTGTTCTCAAGATTGATAGTTCTCCAAACATGGAAGAACATATAGTGTTGAACTTAAAATATCAGATAAAACACTCTGGTAGTCGCTGAGCGTTTAGCAAAGTTTCATGTTAGTTATTGAACTTCATTTTATTGCCAGTTGCTCACTGACTTGTGGAAGGGGCATGCTTTTAGCTATAATTGGGACTTTAGGGAACAAATTTTGTCACAATTCTTTGATAACGAGATCCTTATTGAACTACTATTGGTGCTTTTGCAGCTACGGTTTCCAGACGCCGGAGGCCTGGAACTTAGATGGGCACTACAGATCTCTTTGTTACATGCGGCCACTGGCAATATGGGCAATGCAATGGGCACTGACACAGCCAAAGATCTCTAAGCAGAAGACGAGGCCAGAAATCAAGGAAGAATCCTTGCTTAGGCAACACGACGGATTTTCAAGAGTGGCCCGTCTACTAAAGTTGTCTGATGAAGTTGATTCCAGGAGTGTTTTCCAGATTATATTTGATTATACCTGTAAAAGGATGTTAGAATGAAACAAAGGTTCTTTTGAAGGATCCACATTTGATTATCACAGGAGAAGCACATAGGAATGAGTGCATTCATGATTTTGTGGTATTTGTCATTTTAAACTTCATAATAAACATTGATATTATTGATAGCAGTTCAAAAAATGTTCGGAAATCTTGTTATTCTTTTTTTTTTTTTTTTTCATTCCATGATTTTATATGAGCAATTATGCAAGTAGGCACTGTCTATTGGTCAATAGTAAATGCATTACAACACACTTGAATGAATGAATGCCTTTTACAAGTACAAAATGAAAGAGATGCAACAATAATATCCTTTTTGAATACACACCGAATCGAACTTGTTATATTTCAATGCACACAAAAAATGGTATCATATCGATGAGTAAAGATTTATAATCATCTCGATCAAGTCTAGACAGTATCGACATAAAGACGTCATCTTCCACAAAATATCCGAGGAAAAGATAGTTTTCTAGCCCACAACTATCCCAAAGAACCAAGGTTAACACTGCACCAAGTTTCTCAAATATTAGAGACCCATAAAGAACATAATACATTTGGCATTCTAGAATATCTCCATTTCAAATCGCAACCTGTTCGATGTGTCTCTCTGAACCAACTTTAGAACTCCTTGGAGCCTTTCTACTCGTCAACTTTACACTAGCCTATCCATATTTTGGCATCCACTGATCCACGTTATGCTTGCACAAAATTGTTCTCAGTTCTATTCTCTGCATTTTCCTTCCTGTACGCTTGTAACCTCTCTTTTAACTTTTTGCTCTGTTCAAAATTCGCCTTCCGCTTCACAGCTTTCTGCACGAGGAAATTTTTTGGTCATGGTGGATTGGGATGGCAATTTCTTCATAGTATTTATCAGAGTTAAACCAAATTTGATGTGAACAGATATCTTGACTAAGAAACTTACTTCCTGCCGGAAACACTTATCAAGCTTTATTTTCAGATCAGTGCAGTCACCAAAAAATTTACCAATAGGATGCTCCATATGGCACTTTTGGAACAGTTCAATAATCTGCACCAAGCAATCACATATA